GCGAAATTCAAAAAACAAACAAACAAACAATTTTCAGGTTACACAGATTTCCCGTCAAGTATCAGATGGATAATTCCACTAATAGCAGCAGATTCGATCAAGGGAAACGCTTTGTATTTGATAACTTTCTATTTGAGTTTCTTTAAGCGTCAAATAATGTGACTAGAAGTATATGAATTATTTACTTATTCATTTATATACTTTTTACTCACAGTTAATTTAACCAATGTATCTTTCTTTTTAAAGAAAATGTTTGAAATATTACTTGAACTCATGGGCGTCCGCAGAAATTTTTCCAGGGATGGGCAAAGTTTTCTGGGGAAGGGGCAAAATATTGTAAAATTGTGAATTGAATAAAAAATTCATACACATATGCTTAATGAATAAAGAAAGAATTATGTTAATCATCATCCAGGGGGGCAAGTGCCCCCTTCCCCTGCGGACGCCCATGCTTGAACTAGTAAGAGTAATTTATAAACTTTTTTTTTTCTACCGGAGCTTTAGTGTAGTGTTATTAAGATAGCGTGGTAGTTTACATGTGTGTCGATTTTAAATTCTTAATTATAAATATGGTTCAAAGTTTTTATGCGAAAAAACATAGATTAAAAGTTGGTTAAAAATAAAGCCTTTTCTTTTTAATGTCCTTTATATATGGGTCCAAATATACACACACACACATATATATATATATATATATATGCATTGCTATCACGAAGTACCCTTTGTAGACACTAAATAAAGAATGTTTTCATGAGTAAACATTCTGCGAATAATGTTTATATAGTGTTTGTTTTGTTGAATGTTACGCAAGGTTTATTTGCGTTAGCCATAACTGATTTAGAAACGATAGACTACAAGGAATGCAGCTAGTTATCACCAACCGCCAACTCGTGGGTTACCCTAATCAAATAGTGAGATTGATCGTTATATTATAACTCCTCCACGGCTGAAAGGGTGACCTTGTTCGGTGATTGGATTCGAGTGGTGTGACCTAACCACCAGGTCATACTTTCATATAAGAAATGACACACACACACACACAAAACAAGAACAAACAAACACTATACTATAACTATGGTATCATATTCATTTTTCTTATGTTATCCTTGTAACATATCATGTCATAATGAAAATAGTAAGTCTTCACGAAGACTGAGCCTTTTATTACAGTAAACAACCAACATTAAAGGATGGTCACCATATAAGAAAGTTCGAGAGTCTTACCATGGTGAAATTGTGTTGTTTATATCGTGTCGTTTTGCAAAACTTACAAAAATATCTTTATTATAGTTTTCATGTATGCAACACGTTTGTTTTCATTGTCTTTTGTTTGTACTTGTCCACAAGTTATCGATATGGAGTTTTCTTATATAAATATGTAAAACTATCACGGTGAGCTCATTATAATAATTCGCAAAATCTATTTTTGAATTCAAAGAAGTAAATGTAGAAACATTCACCTTTCTTATAATTGATTTACTTTCTAAGAATGATTTTGCATTATATATACATGTTTGTAATTTTTTCACACCAAACAGAAACATTATCATTAAAAGTTACCATGCACATCTAACTTGTATTCTAAAACGTTTTGTTCTGATATTTTACAAATTATTATCCCTTTTTTTTATTTGTCCAGAATGTTCTCAGAAAAAGTCAAAGGATCTCGATGATTTATAGAACAATACCAAAATGGACCGTTCTCAGTGTGAGTTTGATGACGAACTCCTTCCCTTTGACGTCATCCAAAGAGAAAATTATGACCCAATGCGACGAATACCCGAAAAACTGACACAAAAAGATGGAGGAACCAGAATAATGGAAAGTGGAGAGAATGCTTGGGAAGAAAGTAGTTCTTCTTGGGCTTCGAGTAGCGCAGGCGAGACTCCTTCGTATGGAAGTACTAGCCTAGCTTTCGAATTTGAACAGAAATGTAATATGGCGGAACCAATTACTAACGAGTGCTGCCAAACAGTAAGCGAAAGACCATCTACTAGTGATTGTCAAAAAGATGAAGAAATGGTAAGATGTGAAAGCCTGTCATCAGATCAACTCGCAGAAGTTGACAGTCAGGAGTCTGGATCTGATACTACCAACGACTGGGTCTGTGGCGTCCGAACAAAAGTTCGAAAGGGATCGGGAGATAACTGCAAGCTACCAGGTGGCGCTGCAATGGCTGCTTCTATATCAAAAGGAACTGAGAAGATTTCTCGACTGCTCAGAAGAACGCACAGCGCAGGATGTTCTAAAGACGTTCCAGCTCACGCACTATTTCTTAGGGAAGAGCTAGTAAGTATTTTTCTTTTGTTTGTTTAAGCAGTTTCGAATATATGATTTTTCAGGATAATTGGGTATTTTAGGATATGTTGATTATATTTATGTACAAACTATCATTTTACATAACACTTTCTTTTCATTTATTATTGTTTGGAGCTCGTAAGTTAACTCATTCACCAAATATCATGGTGCTGCAACGTGGGCTAAAGAAACGAATGTTAGTTTTCGTCCAACCCAAACCAGATAAATTTTAAAGGTCAACACATACCAACTTAAATCTTAGACTCTCGGGATTCTGAATCTGTATGACGACATGTCGGCAAATTGTGGGCATTAGAGATACTTAATAATTTTCTTCCCAAAGGGAATTGTAATTCAAATATGACTCTGTCTAATAGTGATTTTATTTATAATATATAGAACGTATATTTTCTTATGTCCAAGAGGTCTTTATCAAACATAAAACAATACACAGGATGTCCTTGATTATCAAAGAAATAATACTACATGTACTTATGCCAACACAATGCTAAACATTCAGGATGTTAGAAGACCATTGCAGACCTGTATTTATCACGAATAGGTTAATCATAATTGGTTAGTTATATTTATTACTTTCATTGTTTGTATCACTCTCAGTTAGTAGAGCCGCCAATGTTAGAACATTTATGCATCTATTATTATTACCCTTTAGTAGGACCGCAGTTGTCAGAGGATTTGTACAACTTGTACCATTATTCTTTGGTAGTGCTATCAATGTTAGAGGACTCGTACACCACCTACCATTATTCTTTGGTAGTGCTACCAATGTTAGAGGACTCGTACACCACCTACCATTATTTTTGGTAGTGTTACCAATATCCAAGGACTCGTACACCATCTACCATTATTCTTTGGTACTACTACAAATATCCAAGGACTAGTACACCATCTACCATTATTCTTTGGTACTACTACCAATGTCAGAGGATTTGTGCACCACGTATCATTATTATGCAAGGGTAATGGTACTTCGCAAGCTGCATGCAGTTGTACATGGCTATTCATTCACCTAACAAGAACAGTTGACACTGCAGTCCTTGCTTCACAAACTAAGCCATTAAGGAGCTAAAAAAATCAAAGAATATTTCTACATCAACATGCTGAATCCATTGTTAAATAAGGAATCGGGTCTGGAAGTCAGCAGTTTGTGGCTATCATTGATCAAATCATCACTCATTCCACCAACCACGTTACAAGATCCACTGGCCAATTTATCGTGCCTACTTCAATTCTCATGGATACCATATAAATCCCTACAAAAACCGATTCAAGCTAGCCTGAAGACAATAGACTGAAGTAATTCGAAACGTATTTCTTTCCGCTTGCGCTACGTTTGTAGATTATATCTCCTGGACTTTCTCTAAAAGTGTCACTCTCAACCATGCAGTTGCTGCCACTTTCACTTTAGTACTCCGCCTAAATCATCCATAAAAAGAACTATTCTATTAGGTTTTCGTGACGTCGTTCTGTCACTTGGTTACTGATCAAAGAAAAAACAGGGAAACCTTGGGTGATTAGTAAAGAATATACCTTGAGACTCGGAACATTTGGGCGATCTCTCAGCAACGATACACAGTGTGGGCGAGATTTAGTCCATACGATAACGAAGATATGATGGAGATGGGGTATTTTCGGACACTATATTTAGAGTTTTGACTGAGGTGCCATTTATATATTTAGTTTGTTTGTAATTA